AGTTTGTGTTTGAAGAATGAATGAGATACCAGTACAAGAGATACAGATACACCTGATGCTATAAAAGCTCCCAAAATAAAAAATGTACCATTGAAATTACATTGGAAGAAGTACAAAAGTACTAGTGTGATTTGCTCCATACCTGTATGCCAGTATATGACAGAATTGAGTTCATCAGCAGAAGCTCCAACAAGTTGATCAATGTTATACTGGATGATGTTAGCACTGAAAGAAGCATATCCTGGACATTCAAGGATATAAACTATACTATAAGCAACCTTCAGTATTGTGTTGTAACTGTAGTATTCATGAGCCATGAATCCAATGCCTGCTATGATCCATGCTATAAAGCACAATACTATACCAATCAGTATAGCTTTGTATCTTCCAATCCATACATCAGCTAACAGACCAAATAAAGGAAAGGACATATAACCAATGCAAAGCAAAATAACAAAAACATAGTTGTATGAATTGTCTTGATGAGTTGCAACAACTGAAGATTCACCAATAAAGTTACAAAAAAAGAAATACTGACTATACATAAGGAAATTCCAAGTCAGAACCAATGCAGCTGAAGGAGAAATATAGAGAAAACGCTTCATTGAGCTTCTTCCACTGCCTTCTTTGTAGAATAAATTTTTTGAACAGTTTTGCTTATCTTTTGTACAGTTGACTAATGACTGTAACTACTATAAATTTTCAATGTTTTTATGCTCTATCTTATCGTACCATATAAGTTTAGAGTGTGTCATGTGACAACTGATGCTTGTAATTGTTAATCTAATCAAACAAATATGAAATGCATGCATATTATGCAATTTCCTACTTCGCCTCATTTTAGCCTCAAATTATTATGTAAAACTTGGCCAAGAAATGAAACGCATAATCAATTTCTTTCATTTATTGCAATACCAGCAAAAACTGACTCCTCATTAACATTATAGTTTTATAGATTTAAGACAACATGACATGCTTATTTATTTTTCTAAAACATGTGTAATCATTATAGCAGCATTGAAAGTTATTCTAGTTTACTTCAAAGTTGATTATACACCATTTTTGTATGTGCCTGATGCTGCTGTCATTATGTTGTGTAGATGCACTGCTCTAATATGAAGACTAGCTCTTACTAATTTGCTACTAGATAATACTCATTTGGACTAGAGGTTTAGATAGTACATTTTAATGGATTAGATTTTTATATTGCATCCAATGCTCAAAATACTTAGAATCCTTACACTGATTTCCTAATAAAAATGTAATCTATTTAAATTTTAATTCTATAGATGAGTATTCTGTTTAAACCACAGAGCCAATACAAGTTATAGGTTAGTCACAACTACCGGGCATAATGGAATCATGAAACCAGATTTAATCACATACCAGCAGATTGAACTATTGAGGAAACAGGTGTCAATTTGCATAGCTTCATACTATTAGAGATCAGAATCTGGTGTTGATGGTGATGATTATAAGTAGGGCTTCCCACAAAATTTGGGCACAGAGAGTTTTCATTAATACTTGCATATCTATTGACTTCGTTCTTGTGATGTATGAAAATTTTGGGCTAATTCCATTCAAAATTAAATTTTTACAAATTTTTTGAGTTAATCAAAAATTGGACTAAAACCCTGTAGCTACAGGGTTATTGATCAAATTTCACTAAAAGTTACAAGGAAAAAATTGTCCACTTTTACAATTTTTTTGATACGTGCATATTGTATCAAGTTTGAGCTGATTCCAATCAAAATTGAACTTTTTACATTATTTTTACAAAAATTGGGCCAAAGTCTTTGTACTGTAGTACAGGGACCTTGGCCAAATTTTGCCAAAATTAAAAAAATTCTCAATTTTATAATTTTCCTTTATATGCATACATGTACTTATTTATGTGTGTAGCAAGTTTCAACTGATTCCAATCAAAAAGACTAGTACAGGGTTGTTGGCAAAATTTCGCCAAAAATGACAAGGAGAAAATTCTCCACTTTTATTGTTATTTTTCTGATGCATTATAGATGTTTTTATGTTGAGAAAGGTAAATTTGTAAGTATTACTAGACAAACACATTAAACTTACCTTATTACAGAAGGAGAGAGTACCTGACTGTCATCAAGATTGAGCAGTAAGGTATTCAGTGAATTCACTATATCAGTATTGGTTGGCGGAGTACAATACTGAGCAACTAAAAATAAAGCAATAACTAGCACTATTTTTTAATCATTGCTATACCAAATTACTTTCCTTTGAGCTAAAAATTTTATGGCATCAACTGCTGGCACATGCATCAATGGTTTTAGATAAAATTAAACATAATTATGGAGCATTGTACCATATAAATCTAACTACATACAAGGATCCTTTTTAGTGGTTTGTCAATGATTTGGCAAACCATATTAAAGGTACCAAAGTAAAGTAGAAAGTTAAACTCTTCACCTTAATATGAGAGTTGTCGCTTTGTATAAAATCAAACTTTGTGCACTGCTGTATAGGTCTACTATGCTGTATAGGTCTACTAAAAATTAGATTATGGATGTGCTTGTGTAAAAATATTGACTAGTACATGTAGTATATGGGATAGCCCAACCATTTGGTACATATACTTGTTGGATCATAAAATCACAGTGTGTTAAAGTCAGTTCTTGTGTTGACAAGGTTCACAAAGTACTAGAATGAGATGCAGCTATAAAGTTGAATGTAAACTTTTTGATTTGACAAACAAAATTATATGACATTAGAGAAGTCCATAAGTAGTAGTCCATGTAGTCTTATCAAAAAGCAAAGAACAAAACACACTAAAAATTAATTAAAGTTATA